TTTTGGTCAGATCTACTCACTGTTAAAATAAATGACTCAACTTCGAAGTATAATAAAAGCATTCACCACAGATGCAAGTATTAAGTGTGTCACGATCTTGAAAGAAACGAGGTAGGCCAAAACTACTTGCAAAATCTTCAGGCAGATTCATATTAGTTGTAAGATTACCCCATAAAACTGATCTTTGATTTTTACATTTTTGAGCCAATGTCGCTAATGGAACCATATCATCAGCGTCCCATTCATCAGGCGATTGGTTATCCGAACCAGAAACTATTATTTCATCACTATAGTTATTTTCTAACATGTCTACAAGCATATCTTCTTGCAAACCTCCCAGCTCTTCTTTAGCGTCACTGTCATTATCAGAACTACCGTCCGAAGGAATTGAAGCAAAATCATAATCTATATTAGCAAGTTCGTCATAATGTTCATCCGCCGTCATACCAACTAATTTGAAGGTAAGAGGTTTTTGGCAATTCATTCTACTAATGGTACGGTGGTACAATTTATGAACACTAGAAATTAAACCAAATAATGTATAAAGGCGTTTATATTTAAAAAACTATAATGTCCCATCTTAAATAGTTCCTGCTGAATACATCTCAGATTCTAACCACAATGGCAAATATGAAAACTAATCGTGTAAGCAGATTCTTTATGTTCCAATCAGACGTCTCCAGTCGCGGTACGGGATTTAAACCGGTGACCCTATTCAATGAATAATTTTGTTTTGGTGGTATATACTTTGACCCACAGTACCTTGAAGGTCTAGAAAAAAGTGGTTTATTATGTAATTCACCGTACTTGAAAGAGTTCAATATCCCGTCCAATTTTTAACATATCGTAAGGCAAAGCAAGTACAATGCACATATGATTCAAGGGCGTGTAGACAAACATGTCTAATAAATCACATATGATTCATGGACAGTTAACGTTATAGACCTCAAGTAAGACTTGTAGAACGTTAGAGCAGTAACGGAATCTGCTCCCCACCAAGCTGTTTGTCACGGCTTTTAAGAAATTTAGACCTTTGATAGGCATTTCCTCGATGTGCGATTTGAAAGTGAACTTTTTATCAAGTACCATAGATACGTAAATTTAATTTTCTGTTCGACAGGGAAATAAATATGTCCAAGGGTTACCGTCGGTATATGATGAGAAAATATAACAATCTTGGATTTTTGTGGCGATTGACCAACAGTTTTCAGAGCTCGGCAGATCTGCCGTCCGAAAAAGGTCATCCGGATCGATCTGATGGAGATTGCGGCTTTGCATTTGGTCCCTGGGTGGAAACCCAAGGAGCAACCTTATCGTCGATAGATTTCACCAAGGCTGAATGTAGGTATAATTTTTTAACAACCGAGACATATCAGGAACCTCTGCGTGATATATCCCATGTCAATTACGACAGACCCTAGGCGTGCCCAGGAATCGATGATAGTGCAGTTTTCAGCTCCTCTAGGACTATGCCCGAGCCAATGCGAAAATCTCTAAATTTGATAAAATTGAATAAAACTTCTTACAACAGGGATATACCATTAGCTGCCATCCCACAGCTTGTCAAGAGCTTCGTCCACGTCCATTCCTGAAGCCCGAGGTCGGCGGAATGTGTTGAAGCATTTCTTGGAATTGATTAACCCCACAGTACTTTAACTTAATATTAACACCAAAACGAATATTGGTCCTTTTTGTCATGCTTCTTCCGTTTAGATTTTATATTTCGCAATTCGATTGGGCATTGAGCTCCAGAATCTGCAGGGTGACGTAAAGTTTGGCAAACGGATCTGCAACATCGGGGTATCGGTGAGGGGAAAGCAAAACATGGCTGGTTTCATTCATAAAATGCCAGCGGCGTGCGGTATTTTATAAAAGTTTGGGATTATTTCATAATTGGTTTAAATTTAGTAAACTATACGTTTATGTTTCACTTTAAATTTGGGGAGTATCTCAATAAGCCCACAATGATATGGAGCATTGTCCATAATAATAAATAAAGTCTCGGGTAAACTCAAAAATAGCTGTTTTCTACAATCTACACCATGTAAAAAACACTTGAGTTTGTTTCTACACTTCAACAAACGGAAAAATGTCTACTCACTTCCCAAAATTGCCACAATTCAAAAAATCATAATAACTGCGCGATTTAAAACCTAAATCAAGCTAGCGTTTTTGTCAAAGCCGTAAATAAAATATATTGTTCAAATACAAATAGATACTTAACGTGGTTTTTTACCTTGAGAATATATATATATATATATATATATATTATACATCCGCGATCTTATAATATGCTCATTTACTTTAAAAAGTGCCACAAGCCGAATCATGACCAGAATTAATTTTTATTTTATAATCCGCATCTTTCTGGATTCCTATTGTTGCAATTTTGGACTGTTGATGTGGATATTTCTAGAGCATCGGTGTCGCTTAAATAGAAACAAAGAACTTTAAACACATTTCATATCCGTTTAACTTATAACCTCTGTAATAAATAATACTTACATTATACAGCATTTCAAAATTACATTTCACCTATTGAATTAGCATTGGTGTTCGTCAACTTCATCATTATCATCATCGTCACTGTCGTCATTCAGTTTCGCTGTCGTCATCTTGCCCTATAGTTATTATAACTGGTTCCATTTCCTCCATAAATTGATCATTTTCCCAAAATTTATCTTCAATGTCCCTAGCATGTTGACAAAATTTCTGCCAAACATTAATGGATATTAAGGACATCGCTTCCTGAGTAACTTCTTTCAGTGCAGTTAAACTGAAGTTTCCAGTGGTATTGCGGCTTCTTATATGAAATTTAAGCTTTGCCCAAGCTAATTCTATTGGGTTTAGCTCGCATAAATAAGGAGGTGTTCTTAGAGGAGTATGTCCATGTGATCTTATGATCCGATCAACTACATATTTTTTTTGGTTGTCAGGGGCCTTAGGAAGTAAGACCAGATCGAACAAGTCAAATATTTTATTGTATAGTTTGATATGTACATGCATGTTTTGAGTCATAAGTACCTTTCTTTGTCAACCAGGCCATTATATCTTTTTTCGAAGATGATTTTGTCGGGGTTTTATCTTCCTGGACGGAATGATATGGAGCATTGTCAAATACTATAACCGAATTGGCAGGTATATTTGGGAGGAGTTTTTCTGTGAGCCAGCGTGTGAAATTTTCCCGATTCATCTGACCGTGGTAATCGCCTGTAGCTAATCCCGCCTTAAATATCAAACAGGCATTGTCAACAAATCCATTTTCTGAACCTGCATGCACTATAATGAGTCGACCTAAACTATACAAGACGATTATATAATATGTTACAAATCAGAGTTAAATTTAACATATATTTTACATTTTTGCTTACCTGTAGAACCTATACTGCTTATTACACCAGAAACAGTTTCGCTCTGCTAGCATTTTTTGAAAGTCAAGTCATTGTCCACCCAGGTTTCGTCCAAATAAACTATATTGCGCCCTTCTTCACGATATCTACGTATTTCACGGATGTATTTGTACCTCCATTGCAATATATTGGGCCTCTCCATCAAAACTTTTCTTTTATTTTGATATTTGCGCCAAAAAAAACCATTTGATTTTAATAAACTCCTGAGTGTTTCCCTAGAATAGGGGAAATTTGAGTCTTCTCGCAACTTTTGTAATAACTTCCTAGTTGTCGGGACAACTTTATATTCAAGATAAAATCTGTTTATCAAATGTCTAATAATCTGAAAATCAAAATCTTCATCTTTCTCAACAAGAGACTGACGCGGTCTTTTTTTCCCGGGACTGGATAACATTTTATTCGGGTTATTTTCTAGTCTTTCTTTATCTTCGTTATGAATTTTCCTAACAGAAGATACTCCGACTCCGGTATAAAGGGACACCCTATCAAGCTTACGTTTAAGCGGCAACTTGAGGGAATTGTTTGCCGCTTCCTCATCGCAAACCCTATAAATAATCATCAGAATGTTAGCTTAGCATTTCCTCGTCTTTTATTTATATTCAGACTCAGTCGTCAAAAACTACAATTATTGCATATTATTATTACTAACCTATAAACATTCGCAATCACTTCTCTTGTTTGGCTATGAAGCGTCTTTCCGCGAGTAAATTGGTTCATTTTAAAAAATAATACTAAGACGAATAACAATATCAAATAACAAAACACTAAACTATTCAAAAACACACAGCACTAAACGTACAAACTTAATAGAACAATAAATAGTTAACAATAATAGTTGTAAAACTCGACACGACAATCAACGGAGATAAAACCTACGCCACTGGACTTTTCAATAGTATGGATATTCTAAGAAAGGAGCAAAAAATTGTCTGGGACGCTACCCAATAGGGAGTCGAATTTTCTCATGGCGACAAAACATGTGAGGATATCCGCCAATCAGATTCGTTTAGGCGGTGTCCAATATACCTTTCGGGTGGTTGTTGCCAGCTCAACCGATGTAGATAAGATCTTTGGAAAAATGTTTACTTATAATACGATTCAGTAGTAAAAAATAGTTATTAAATACAAATAGAGCTAACAACCCATTAAAATTCTCAGTATTTTGAATTATTATTTTTTGGAATTGTGAAAAATCGATTTTCAAATCATTGAAATTACTTTTATTATTATTATTGCTTTTTTGTAGTTAAATTTGGCAATATCGAATATTTTCGGTCGCATTCCTTTCGCTGTTGCAGATCCGTTTGCCAAACTATACAGTTTGTGAGATAACTGGGCCTGCGCCTTAACGTATCCTCGGTCACTAGAAACCAGATCCATTATAATCCATTTCCTATCTTCAGACTTTCCCAGTACTGATCTGAACGCCCCCAGGATCAATGTTGAAAGGCATTTTGACGCATTTAGGCGTTCGTGAGCGCTGTGTGGATACTAGCAACAACTCTTGATGGGCTTCTTCGGTTATTCCAAACCTTGCCTGTGCGCAATCCGTGTAGACACCCATTAAGCTGATGCGGTAGTTGACATTTTTTATTCTTTTTCTTCTCTCTGTAGACTCATTGCAGACACTTTGGGGATTTGGACGTAGGCCTTTAAACCACTCAAGGTCGACCTCTCTTCTTCTGCCCTAACGTCTGGGGCGGAGTTATGTTTTCTCAAAACGATACCAAAACGGTTAATGAATGGATTGATGCACCTCTACTGAGAAACATAAAATATTTGAACTACTTCGTCACACTTCCTCTTTCCCTACATAGAAAATATAAGTACTGCTTTCAAGACGCATATTCTTAAGGTAAAAGAATTCTGCTACGAGAGACGACATGTTCATACTTTTCGATAATACCTTTTGGAAAGGTGAAAACGTATATCCCAATTCCCGAGATATTCGCTACATAAAAGTACGGGTATTATTACATTTCCGTGTATATAGCTGAACACAAAATTCAATTTCAAACTTTCATATTTATTTCCAATTCCCCTTCGCACGCAGGAATATTAACTTCCAACTATCCGGGCTCAGGCATTCTCGAACGTATCTTATACCTCGACTTACCTTTACATATTTTCACGTTAGCTTCTCTCAGCCTGGGAACACTCGGGCGTAAAAAATGCACATGGTGCATATTGATGACTTCTGGAGTGCACTTTTAGTTTGACTCAAAAAAGTATCTATTCTTTTCCTAAACCTAAATTGATGAATGAGGCTCTATTGTTTTGGTATAGTCAAATAGAATTTCGAAGTAGATTTCATGGTAATAGAAATATCTAACCACTATAGTCTGGTCCATAGAGGTAGCGAGTTTACATAACTCTTCCAAAAGTATTATCTTCTTGATTTTGGTTGCAATAGATTCCTAATCTTCTCTGTATGTTTCTAAGCCTCTCAACTACGGTTTTTATCAAATATCTACCTTCTTTCGTTGAGTAGATTCTGCCTTTGCATTTGTTTTCAGGATGCAACGTATCAGAGTTTTTGATCACACAATCACAAGCTTTTCTCGTTTAATCCAGTTATCATCCAGGAGATAAGTATGATATGCTTGCTTGCTCCTCGGTACTGCCTCTCAGTCCCATAAGTCGCTACAATAGTTGTTGTCAAGTCCCCAGTGTCTCGTGGTAAGGTGGTTTTTCTTCTGTTTTCTGAAAAAAAGTTCGTCCTTCATCAAGTTCTCAGTTACCACCCGAAAAAAGACAAAATACGTCTAGTGCTCGACCAAATATAGATTGTAGAACAGATGGAATGTCCAACTGGCCCACATATGGAAGATGTAAGAATGGTCGTTGCCAAAAGATTACCAAGGTAGTGTGTACCAAACGCAAGTGTTATTTATGTTTTGTGTCAGACGGAAACTGCTTTGCTTATTTGTATACATGATCATTATTTGTAATATACTAAGTGACATATAAATCCGAACACCCAGTTTAAATGGTTTTATTTTAATAAAATTTTGTATAAGTACTTAATGAAGCATAGTAAGTAAATGATAAAAATTTCAAAATGATTGCACTGCTTTAAAGCCCTTTGACCTTTAATAATGTGTGGATGCACCCTGATGTGCTACGCATTCTCCAACGCGCCTAGGCATGCTTCTGATCAGGCGGTCAATGTCCTCCTGTGGTATCTCATTCCAGGAAACCACCAACTCCTCTCAAAGTGCTTCTAGAGTCTGAGGACTACGTTGCAAATTGAGCAATCTCCTACCCATCATATCCCACACGTGCTCAATTGGGGATAAGTCGGGAGATCTTGGTGGCCATGGTAACAATGTGACATCATTACGTTGAAAGAAGTCTATTGTGACTCTTGCAACATGTGGTCGGGCATTATCTTGTTGGAAAGTTGGATCTGCCAGGGTGTTAAGATAGGGTAAAAGATGGGGTTCTAGAACTTCGTGGATATAACGCTGCGCGTTCATGTTACCTCTGATGAACATGTCTTTCAACAAAAAACTGTGGATTCCTCCTTTCATCACGTCGCCTTCTAACCGTGGCACGACCATCGTGCATGCCTAAACAAAATCGAGACTCGTCACTAAAGACAATACTGTTCCATTCCGGATCCCAGAGTGACCGTTGTCTGCACCACTCAAGGCGATTACGTCGGTGTTCTCGAGTTAAAGGGAGGACCCAGTGTGGCCGGTATGAAAACAAGCCAAAACTTCTCATCCGTCGGTAAACACTTCGCATGCCAATAGGTCTTCCGTGTTCTGCAAACCATTCATTTGCAATAGACCTGGTAGTGGAGAAACGGTCCCTTAAGGCCAATAATCTTAGGCGGCGATCTTCACGGTCTGTTGTTCTACGGCGGCGTCCAGTGGCCCTTACTCTTTGTGTACGGCCTTCTCGAAGCCATGCCTGACAACACCTAACCGCAGTGTCTACACTTCTTTGCACTCTAACTGCAATTGCCCGAAAAGAAAGTCCAGCTTCCCGAAGTCCCACTATACGGCCCCTATCAAACTCACTAAGTTGACGAAATCGTACCGGTCTCCGTCCTCTAGGCATCGTAACCGATCGTAAAGGATGTCAAGAACCAAAATCCGCCAACGTTGATTCTTTACTGCGGCTGAAATAATCATCTTTAGAGCGTTAGTGAATTAAAAAAAAGCAGTATAAAAACCGGAATGTCCAACTGATAGGGCTGAAAAATTTTTCACTTGTTATTTACAGTAAGATAAATACATTCATCAACTTTTATCAAAATAAAACCATTTAAACTGGGTATTTATATGTCACTTAGTATATATAAAATGTCTCTGTTACTTTATTTGTTGTTATTTAACATTATGTAGCTCTCTTAGTTTCACTTCTTTATTGACGGAACGGTGTAATGTATATTTCAATAGACATACAATTAGTTCGAAAATAATTTGTTATGAAGATAAAATATCTCATATTTCAAGCAAAACATTTTCCTTACTACTGGATGTGTACAATATAGGGTTAAGTGAAAACAAATGTGGGTTCGAATAATATATAATTAGTTGTTTCTTAGCGAAACTACGTCAACTCAGCGACCTCCTACTTCACGCGTTGTAATTAATGGAATAGCAGCCTTAGGTGGCAGTTCCTTTTGAATGCTACTGCAGACCTCTCCACCTTTGACATTGATATTTTAAGAATAACTTTGGGTAAGTGTATTTTTCAACAAGTTTTAATAACAGCTGACGATCTAGTGATGATTGCTTGATGAAGTTTATTAGATAAACTTTCTACGAGGTATTCAAAGCTATCAAAACTGTCAGACACTAATCAATCCAAACCACGCCGCAACTCATTCCAAAATATGGCATCCAGACTATTCGCCATCACGAAGCAGCTACTTCTGGTTTAATTAAATCCCACTTCTCTACTTGAGTGATTAATTAAGGCAGTGCTCCTGGTGCTTCTTCTCTGGCCACAGCCACCGCCCTACCAAGAGAACTTATGAAATTAAAATTATAACCGCGTAGCGACTTCTGCTACTCCTCCCTCGTTGCATCCGCCTCTGCAGACTTTGACGGGTTTAACGCAGTTCCTTTCGTCTGTGTGTCTGTCTTCTGCTTTTTTTGGATGACACGTGGAGACGTATGATGTTTACAGTTTCACAGTAAGATAGTCGTGCTTTTATAACTCGGGAGAGAAAATAGCAATCAGCCCCTGTGGATTTTTCGAATTAAGCAAAAACCAAAAAAAGGGGACATGTAGAGAAGATGAACATGGAACAGCATTGATTCAAAGATAGTTAGAACTACAGACAGTTGTTTAAAACATCAGGATGGCCGATTATTAAAAAGTTGTGGTTAATACCATGCAATGACAAATTCCCTCGAATTCAACACAAAGACGCGTTGGCATGCCTCTCACTTTTACCGAGGTGGTCCCTTGACTTGTTAAGCTCTCTTTTGGCGTGCTTTGAGATGTTTTTTGGGTGGCACGTGACATTTACATGAAGAAAAAATATGCCTGTCTGTCCATCTGTACAGAAAGCGGTGACTCTTCTATAACGTTTTTTTTTTTATTATTTAGGTTTCAATGATTCAAGTTTCATCAGGAGTGCTACAAATAGTGCTTTTTAAGAAAAAGCAAGGCATATATATTAAATTCAGAGTCCAAAAAAATGTGTTATATATAAACTATTAACATATATTGATACGGATACTCTGATTTTTTAATTTCAAAATCTCTCTAGCACACGACCATGATATATAATCCTCAGGCTTATTACAATTAGAATTTCCACTTATATTAGCCGCTGCATGGTTTGTACACTTCTTTATGTTTTTATATAGATTCTGTATTTTTGTGAGCAGTTGCCAGTTGTAGTTCCAAGCAACTTGATCTCATACCTGCCTTTTTTTATCTCTGTCGTCTTTTAGCTTGCAAAATATTTTCTTGCCTAGAATAAAGTTCATTAAAGGGAAATGAAGGATAGTCTAATGTAATATAAGGATTTGTTTGATCGCTAACATAGTCTGAACGACAGCTATTGTATATAAAGGCTTTCGCAATATCTACGAGTAGAGCTACAAAATGAGCCTCAACATATGAGTGGATGAGCTTACTCCACAGTTGCGTGACGTAAGCCAGGAGGTCTCTGTTGATTGCTTGTGCGGCTTAGTTCCATTGTGTTTAACTTTTCCGTTCTCTGTTGTTGCTAATTCTTTAATATATCTATTATCTGCGTACATGTTTTATAGGACGTGGTAATGAGTTTCCACCCGTTTTGATTTGCTCCCTCAGGAATATGCGGAAGGCTAACGTACATAATCAATTACCATTTTCCATATTTCAAATTTGGGGCAACTCTCTCCCGGCTGCTCCTTCCCGGTTCTGGGTACACATCTGAGAGTCTCTCGGGACACATTTTGCCCGAGGATTACGCCGCGTAATCCAGACTTTGCCACGACTAACTAGACTTAGTTCGTTTCGCTCCCGTGCACCTGATGCCTCATATATTTCATATATACAAGTGAAATTATTAGCTTTATCTTTGGACGTTTATAAATTGTCAGATTAAGGAAGGTTTTTATTCTGTTTCGCTAGTTATAGCTCAGTCACATCGAGGGTATTGTGTCGTCAGGCAAATGCAGGCGTAAGAATTGGACTCCTAAATCATATGATTTAACACCATTGGATTTTTGTTCATTGTAGCATTGCAAATTCAACACCGTACCACTGAAGTTCAGTCACAATGGACAACAAAAAACAATTTT